AAGAAAATGAGTGAGGAGATTTGCAGGGCTTGGCCAATTAAGCATTTCCTCTTTTCTTAAAAATGAAATTAAAATCTTTTTCTGTACCTTGTCCTCTCCCTCCCTCCCCAGTCCCCAGCAGATGAATTCTAGTGGCAGTGCTGAAGTCTGCTTAGCCAGAAAGATGCTATACCAGAGATGGGACAGAGTGTGTCTAGTCCCAGAAGATACCATTAAAGATTAGAGGAAACTCCAAACTCAAATTTTAAACAGCTCTGAGCTCCTTGCAGAGAATGCTACTAAATAGAGCATCAAGTTGTGTGGCAGTTATCGTAAGGTAATGACTGCCAACAAAGAACTGAATTATTAGTAATCTTTTGGGTTTTGTATGGGCTGTTGAGATATAATGTCTTTCTGTAATGATTTTAGCTTAGTCTGGACTGTTGAACTAGCGTTAACCAAGATGGAAGAGCAACGGAGGCGTCGTTGTCCTTCTAAACTATTGAAAGTACTTCCCAGAAAGGCTGGGAAGATGATGAATGGCCGCAATCAGGAAGCGAGCACCCTTACTTCCAGTTTCCCTGCTCTTCTGAGTCATTAATTGATACAGATCTTAATTGGGTCTGGGAAAGGAAGGGAAGAGAGAGAATTTTTATTTTGCAATAGAAAGTTTTATTTTTTTTTTTTCTGAGTTATCTCCTGTTCCACAGCTTTCTGACTCTGGGTTGGCTGGAACTACAAAGCTCATCCGTTACAAAATATGAGCTAAGAAGTAGTGAGTTTTTAAAGTAGGTTTGATGTTTCTCCAAGATTGCCTTTTGAGTTTTGGACCTCAGATTTTTCAAATTTTCAGGGAAATCAGGAGACTTCATAATAATTGCTTCGTGATAATTCAGACTATTCATTTGGAATACTTATGGAAAGGTGAACTATAATGAGAAATGTCTCCTAGGTTAAAAATCCAGTCTTGGATTTGCATAGGATACCACTGGGAACATTTCATATACAGACAACAGGTTCCCTGAGATAGCCAAGAGAGAAGCAGCCCTTTTACCTCTTTAACAGTACCATGTCTTTAATGAAGTGAAAAATTATTTTCTAGTAGCCAGACACTTCCTCTCCTTCTGACAGGGTAGGCTTAGAATTGGAAATTCCATTCTCGGTTATGCGAGGAAATCTGTGACCTCTCATTATTGACTTTAACTACGGTGAGTGAGTGTTTTCTTTGAATTTTTGATTGTCGGACATCTTTCTTATATCAGAATCAGTTAATTTTTACCTAAGATCATTCTAGACTTCATCATTCATAGACGAATCAAGTGTCTAGCTTTCTTTTCGTGAAGAGAGTGGGCAGGAAGGAAAACTGCACGGATGCCTGTGTCTTCCTGGTCATCCTGACACCCTTGTGTGTTATGGGAGTGGGCTGTGGAAATAATCTACTTATAAAGATCACTAAAGGCTGGATGTAAGGAGGACATTAATATCTAAAATTATGCCTCCCACAGGAAGACAAGCAGTGTAGAAAGACAACGTTTTTACACAAACATTCTTTCATTCTGGGTAAAGGGTCATAGCTAGTCAGGAAGGCTCTTGTGTTTGGACTGCTGGCTGAGGAAACTACCTTCTCAAGAAGCTTCATCATAGTGGGCAGGAAAGCAAGTGGAGAGGCTTGGAAATAAACTGGACTGGAAAAAGAACGGGGCGGGGGGAGAGAATTTTCCTGTAGTCCATCTTCCCCATGATGATGATTACAAGGGGGCAGATGACTACATTTTGTGTAGTCAGGTTTTTGCATTCCTTGCAGTGCATGTTTGGGGTCATTCTGCCTCCATCAGAGAGGTCATTTAACTGCTTTGTATTAGTTCTTCAAGAGAGGAGAAATGTGATTCTGAAAGGATTTGTGTCAGATGCAGAAAAAATTTGAGGTACTGTAAAGGTGGTTAGTGATTGCACTTCATTGTCTGAATTATTTATTGCTCTTTAGTGCTTTTTGATGAGGGTGTATGGAAGGTCAACCTGCTGTCAGATTCTTTCATATCCTGCAAGATGCTCAGCGTAGACTGGTTGGGTGTTGCCAGCTCCTGTTGAAGGAACTTTAGCTCCTGATGAAGCCAACAGGCTAGGCCTAGTTTGAGCCAAATACCTCACTGGCCCAAAATATTCAAAGCTTGTATTTCGGGGAGCGCCATCCACCATTAGTCTTCTCTGATAAGTGGAACATCAGATGGTTTATCAAGCATGCCTCGTATTTACTTGCATGACTGAGATTCTCTATGCCTTTTGGATCTGCAGCTAGCTAACCATCTCTCTCCTTCCATTCACTCCATTCCCAAGTTGTTACAAAATTTAATGTTAATTAGGAAGGGAAAGGAAGGGGCTGGTGAAAACACTTTATTCTTCCCATTGGTCATCTTGGATTTTCCACTCCATAAGAAACACGAGTCTTAAACCAAACTTAGCTACCAGTGAAAACAAAGGGAGAGAGTTGAAGAAAAACTGCTACCCATGCAAGAGTTCAAAGACCAAATGTTCTGCGGCAAACTATTTTTATCTTGGATGAGAAACTAATGGCAGATTTATGATGTATCTTTCTACTTCTATGGGATGTTGGCTTCTGTCAGATAGAGTATTTCTTTATCTTCCTTATTCCCCCTTTGCATTTCTGCAATTTTTTATTTTGGGGTTGCTACGATCCAAAGAATAAAAGCTATGACAGAGGAAGTTGATCAGATTCATTGCTGTGATTAGATGATAACACTTCCACATATGACTTTTTTTTTAAAAAAAAAAAAAACCCACCACATTCCCACACAGATTAATTCCACTTGATCATTTGGTTACCATTCTTGACTGTTTTCGGTGAATAACCTTCAGGGCAATGGGTTGTTCGTGAAGTATTCATTTCATCTTCTTGCTCTTGCTTTTTGTTGTGCGATGGCTCATTGTACATTACCAGTAGTTGCCTGAAAATTTGTTTGTATGCTGTCTTCTATCTCCATCCTGAGCTACTTCTGCAGCTAAATGCAGTTCAGAAATGGTTCTTCTTATCATGCTTAAATGTACATAATCCTTGGTGAAGAGTTTGTTCTTTGCACTGTGATAGCTTCTGATCAGGATTTGATTTCTGTTCTGTGAAGTCAAGTAAAATAAAATAAGGAAGATGACAAATGGGTAGAACAGCAAAACTGCTTGCCCTGAAGCCTTTGCAAAGGCGAGTCTTTTTCAATTAGTGCCAAAATGTGGAGCCACAGCTCTAACATAATTGAATAAAAGCAGGGAAACAAAGGCCAACCCCCCCAGGCGCTCTCATTTCTATACCTGACCAAGTAAAATAGAAGAAAGAGGCAGTAACAAAGTCTGCCTTACTCTAGGTTTTTTCTTGCCAAACTGTATGCATTTCTTAAAAAATAAAAAGAAAAAATTAAAGCATTAGCATTTTATTTTAGGAGGCAAAATCTGTATGTAAGAGAGATCCTGAAGTGCAGAGCAGTATGCATGGGAACTGAACTCTGTAAGGCCCAAACATGATGGGTTCTGAAATTCTGTTTCAGCTGAGGACATTGTTCAAGTATAATCTTTGCATTCGTGTGTCTAGAAGACGCATGATACAGTGTCTTCTCTTGAATTTTACTTTAGATCAGATGTATTTTCTGCCTAAATTAAGATGATAATATTATGCATACCTCAAAACAATAATACATGAATAGATGCATTAACAGTGCAAGTTTTTGAATATGAGGATCATGAAGTCATATAAGAGTTTGACAGATACTTATCTGTAAAGCAGGTTTCTTATGAGGAAATACAGATCTGCTTTTGCTCATGTAAATGTCATGTAGTGGGGCGCAGCTCAGCCTGCAAATGTGACCTGTATGATGTTATGACTCCAGGTGGCCGCATCTCAGTTCTCCTCAGAAGATGGCCCCCTTCCCACAAAGTGCCACCAGTCCTCGGAGGAGCTGGGCCCCTGCCCAGTGAAAGCTGGCTTCAGAATCCAGAGGGTTTGTGTTTTGTTTTTTCTGGTGTGTTGTGGTTGGTTTGTTTGTTTATATACTTAGGTGACTGTTGGCCCTGGTGCTGAAATATTGTTTACTGATTTTGGTAAAACTCTGTTACATAGTGAAAAGCCTCAATTTGCTTGAAGAGCAGCTGTGTAACTTTCTCCAGTCACAAAGTAGAAAATGAATTAACAGCAGGACTTGCATAGTCCACGTCAGCTGCTGAGAATTTACTCTTGTTTAATTAATATTAATTTACTATTTATAAAGTGATAACAAGATTCTTGTGGCTTTTGTTACATCTGCTTTTAATTTTAAAGGCATTTTAATCAGTTTGCTGCATGACAATATTTATCAACACTAGGTAAATAGGCCCTCTAATATGACCTACCCTGTTGAGACTACTTAACAGGCTAGACTGGGAAATAATATGCAAACTCGTTTCTCTTCTCTTATCAGAAGAGATCAGTTCCCAAAGTGACATAGATATTGGTGGTGTAGGTGATACCTTTAACCATGACATCACTTTAAACCCCTGGGCAACACTTACACCCCCGGGGAGTGTATTGCTGCTGAAGGGAACCACATGAGCTGAAAGTCTGAGACTTTCTCTACATTGAATTTCCTTCTACTCAACGGAGGAAAGCTGATGGGTTCAATCAAGAATTCCTTATTTTTACCGGCTTGCAGTCAGGAGCGCTGAAGTGACTTTTTTTTTTTCCCCCCCCTGATCTTTTCATTTTTTTGTTTTCCTTATCTGTTCCTCCCCCTTCCCTTCACTTGACACCTGTCCCTACCTTTGGAGGATGAGATAAGCAGAGAACTCCATCCCTGTAAGAGACAAGGAGCAGAATATGCCTGCACGAAGAGGGCCAGAGCAAGAATCAAAACTCTCCTGGGCAGGCGGGTGTGGGAGAGCTCCTTTGCTGCAAGCTGCTTTCTGGAGTGCTGTCAGTGGGGTTTTGTCACTGTAGTGAGTATAATTGGAAGCAAGTTTACTTTTTTCTTTGTTTCTGAGTCGTCATGCTGCAGCAAATTTTGCGTGATATGTATATTGACCCTGAGCTCCTAGCAGAGCTGAATGAAGAGCAAAAGCAGATCTTGTTCTACAAAATGAGAGAAGAGCAGCTGAGGCGCTGGAAGGAGAGGGAAGAAAAAGCACGAATGGAGGAGGCCATGCTGAGAAAGACGGCAAGGCGCAACCAGAGTAAGATTTGTGACCTCCTTCTATACTTAAGAGCTGGGGATGGTGGGCATGCGACTGACTATGCTGCAGCATGCATCTGGAAGAGATTACAAGGAAGAGTGCTAGCTGTCCCCATAGGCAAAAGGACAGTCTGGGGCAGCAAAAGCAACATGTTCCTGCTCCTTGTCTCTCAAGGTTGGTTTTTTCTCCAGGGAAATAGTGTGGGAGTAAGGGGAATCATTTTGAAGTGCCTCTTTCAGTCAGGAGTGACTGCTCCTGTTCTCTCAGTCGTAACAGATATACCACGACCAAGTTTCCCGTCCACTCCTAAGGTGTTTTTTTTTCTCTTGACCTAGTATCCCCACCCCTCACCCTCAGTCAGCCAAGAGGCAGTCTTGCCTGTGCTGTTGAGGTTTCTTGACTTGGCATGAAGCGTTTCCAAGTGATTGGAGTAGGAGATAAATTCATGAATTTGAGCTTGTTGTGAAGGGCTTTTTGTGAATAAGATGTGACATCAGAACAGCCATACCATATGAGACTAAATTTCCAACTGTACCAGTAAACACTTTCCAGAAGATTATGCTTAGGGAATAGGATAATATTGAGTCAAGCATGTAAAAAAACCCAACAACCAAACCAAACAAACAAAAAAACCACCCAGATATGTGTTTTCATATAATGTATAGTTAAACTATGGAGCTCCTTCCACAGTCAACAGTGTGTTGACTTAAAAAGCAAATAAGCAAAATCATGGATGAAAACATCAAAACAGAACTACTCCAAATGTAATTTCCACGTGTCTTGTCTTGAGTCTAAGTGGTCTGGAGTAAACAGAAATACTTATTTCCTTGCTCTCTCTTCTGAACTGGTGACTTCCAACTCTTTC